AATAAAATTTAAAAAAAAAAAAAAAAGAATCAAGTGGAAAATAACAAAAAAATAAGGACAAGAAAAAAATAAACTGAAAAAGAATGATAGATTTTCACTAGAAAGAAATAAAAAGAACAGCTACAGAAAACAATAAAAAAACAAATAAAAAACTGAAAAGAGTAGAAGACTTTACTAGAAAAAAAAACCTAAGTGAAAAAGCAATGAGAAAATAGGACAAAATAAAAGAAAGAAAAAATAAAAAATAAAAGAAAGAAAGTGAAAACAAAAGAAAGCAAAGGTATTTTGGTAATAATATTTTTTTAATGTGATATTTGCTTGAATTTCTCTTAATCTTAAAAGGTAAAAGAAAGGCCTCGAGCATAGTCACTTTAGTCCAAAAAATTAAGAGGGGTCTGAACATATTTTAGAAACTAGAGAGATTTAAGCATCAAGTTAAGAACTTCAGGGGATAAAATCTAAACACAAGAAACACAAAGGAAAACAAAAATATCAGTGAGCACCAAGTACAAAGATTAAAAGATACAATTCTTATAATTAAAGAGCTTCCGTTTGGAGTATATAACCATCAAACGGAATACAAATTGAACTGAAGACGAGACTGATGGAAGCGACATAGAGCATAAGGAAGCTGAGGCTCTATGGAAAAGGAAACTATAGCTCTTAGCACATCCAATTCCACTGCTATATTAAACCCTCCAAACATAGGTATATAAAGTAGGAACTTCTCTGCAGAAACATAAAGTCATAAAGTGCTTCCATTTGTTTAAGGTAAAGATTTAATTGCCAAATAACCTGCCCTGCAATCTCCTAAGGAATTGACGATAATCCATCTTGAATTTTGAAATCGGATCCTTCAATTTAGCATTTCAAGCTCCGTATTATAATAATCTTCGATGAAATTGTTTTCCTCATGTCACAGTTGATTGTAAAAGTTTTGCTGTATTGCATAATTCAAGTAAAAGAATTACATGGCTGAAATAATCAGTGGTTCAAACTTACAACTCTTTCATTTTACCCCTTGATTTTCCCATTACAGACAGCACTCCCTTTTCAAAAATTATGCATCCAGATGACAAGTTCAGTTCCGATGTTATATACCTTGACTATGGAAGAACATGTGAGCGGAATATGAGGGGATAGGTGCAGCAAAATCCACTACTCCAACACTGCACAAAAGTCTTATTTAGTCTAGAACCAAAACTTATGTAAAGCTAATGAAGCAAACTGAACTGAAGAGTCGTAACTACAAAATTCACAATATGATAGCATAGGCAGATTCGTGCATATCCTGCCCTTTAGAATCGTCTGTTTATGGTGTCGAGGAGATCTATAGCAATTACAGTGGTGGAATGAACTATTGAATATTAAACAAAGAGCAGTACTATAACGAAGAACTCCAGAGTGTATCGGAACTAACCACAGAAAGCAATGGCCCCTGCTTAAACTTGTCATGAAATGAAAAAGCTATTGGTTTGGGGTCATCTCCAGGACCCCTAATGAACCCACTGGATAAATAAAAGAAATAGAAGTTGTTAGAACACCAAGGATAAAATTAAGTTCATATACAATCCAGTAAAATGTGAACAGATTTATCTCCATCAGAACCACCACATATATGAAACCTATAACCAATTAATACTACAAACAATAATAATAGACAAGCATAGATAAACAAAGAAATCCCAACTTACACCAAAGATGCTGAAATCAGTGGACTTCTTCTAACATCATATATTGCTATAAGACCCCTGTACAAGTCATCCCCATCTCGATAAGATAAGGCTAGACGCTCTCCTGAAGCATCCCATGCCATCTTATCAATTCCTCGACTGCATAAAGGAGAAAACTTCAGCGACAAATCATACATTACATATAAAAATGGGCATCCTCCTCCTTACATACACAGCCAGTTCCTCCAAGTAGTCCAGAGAGCCAATATACACTGACTCATGTAAATTAGGCCTACTCAGTGTTATGGAGAGCGAGAAGCGGAAAAAAGCGAGGCCTCGCTTCACCGAAGCGAGAAGCGTGAAGCTAAGCGCGCGCTTTTTTCATGTGAAGCGCAATATAACACATAAATAAATAAAAAATTAAGTAGGCATAGATAAATGACCAAGAACTCAATACAAATAACATATTAAGCAAATGTTTCAATTCTTAAATTAAGAAGTAAATAATAGATACTAAAACTAGATAGTCAATAATCCTCAAAAGTCATAACATATTAAGCAAATGCAAAACCAAATCACAAAAGGAATTGTTAAAACATGGCATGACAGTGAACAGCAGAAAACAGAGCAGTGAACAGTGAACAACAGAAATTTAAAAATAAAAAAAACAGAGCACAAGCATAAATTACAAAATAGGGGTGAACAGAGAAATAAGAACGGAAAAAAATAGAAAAGAAGAAAAGAACAGAGGAGAGAAGTCGAACAATGAACAGTGAAGTGAGTGAACAGCAGAAAGCACAAGCATAAAACAGGACAGAACAGATAAATAAGAACTGAAAAAAAATAGAAAAGAAGAATAGAAAGAGAAGAAGAGAAAAGAGGAGAGGAGTCGAACAGTGAACAGTGAAGCAGAGAAAATCAGAAGAGGAAGAGAAGAGAAGAAAGAACTGAAGGAGAAGAGGAGAAGAAAAGCAGAAGAGACGAAGAGAATCTTACCTGAAGAGCAGAAGAGAAAAAGTCGAAGGTTGCAATCGTCGCTTGTAGCAGAGAAGCGGATGTTTGGAAGAAGTGTGCGCAAGTGTATTTGCAATATTTTTTTAAGAAAACCCTAGGCAGCCGCTGGACCTCGCTTAAGCGAGCTTTTCTACGCTTTTTTCATCGCCTCGCTTCTCGCTTTTTAGGGTGAAGCGTGCGCTTATTTACCAATGCCGCGCTTTAGGGCAGAAAGGCGCAGACCCCTCGCCTCGCCTCGCTTCTGCACTTAAAGCGAGAAGCGTGCGCTTTTAATAACACTGGGCCTACTGGATTTATATAGAGTTTAATCATTTTCTTAGCCTTGCACTTCAACTGAAATGAAAACAGAATGAAAAAAAGTGCTCGGAGAAAAGCGTAAACTGATGGAGTATATGTAGAATACAAAAGCAAAGCAAGCAAGAGTAGATAAAAGTTGAGACATGCAGAATAGAATCATCCATAGGGGATAGAAATCCTTGTGGTTAAGTCCTTTATGCTTTAGGAGTTGAAGCTCAAAATTAGAGTATACAACTGGCTGCAATTCTTTTCTGCCAAGTTGGACATGCAAATATTTCAACTAAAATATAGAAGGCATAATACATCCACAGCCCCTTAAAGTTGTCCAGACATTTCACTTAACACACTTTATTTTAAGTCTATTCCATTTAAACACTTTAAGTAGGTCTTTACTGTGTCATTTAGACACAAAATTAACAGGCAGCCAAACCCAACAGTTGCGGGTAATTCACACGCCAGCTTGACGAACAAAATAGGGACACGCGGAATTAAGAAAAACTTTTGAAAAAAGGAAAAGAAATACGTGAAGCTGAACACACACAAAATGGGAGTGGTGACCATAAGACGGATCAACAATTCGTGAACGACGAAGCAGCTTTTGCAAAGGCAATCGATAAAGGATTCACCGATTTGGACCTCAACAACGACGACGTTTTATCCCAATCCGAGCTTCACAAAGCATTCGAGTCTCTCCGCCACATAGAGGCTCATTTCGGCGTCGACGTTGCAGCCTCGCCGGAGGAACTCACCCACCTCTACGATTCCATCTTCGAGACCTTCGATTGTGACCCCAACGGCACAATTGACGAAAGGAATTTGGGAATGAGGAAAATTATGCTGGCCATCGTTGATGACTTGAATCGTCGCAGATTCAAATGGCTCTTGATGAAAGTGACTAGAATTTGATTAAACAAGCTGCAGATCTCGAAGCTTCTAAGCTTCCTGCCTAATAAATTATAACCGCTCTTCCTTTCTTTAGCAATAAAAAATTATTTTTCTGTTTTTCTCAACAAAACAAGGTGGCCGCTGAGAAGCACCTGCCGATGTTGAATCTTCTGGCTAGAATTGCAGCAATCGGATCTAAAAACGAGAAGAAAAATGAGAAGTTTATGGTGGTGGCCGGATTTAAAGTTGTTGGTAGTAGTATACCCAAATCTGAAGGAGTATACGGTAATAATCGTGTGAACAATACTGAAAAATTAAAAGACAAGTTCGCTAGAAAATTTTCCGGCAGAAGCTATTTATTTTCCGGCAAAAAATATGTAGAGTTTGTTTTTTGGGATGATTTCACGCGCTTGAAAAATGTGAGAAACACTTGCCTTGCCATGTCACCGCATTGTGTCTAAATGACACAGTAAAGACCTATTTAAAGTGTTTAAATGGAACAGACTTAAGATAAAGTGTGTAAGTGAAAAGTGGGGATAACTTTAAGGGGATGTCGATGTATTACGCCAATATAGAAGAATGAATACCTTCTTGATGCTTTACATTTAGGATTAGCTTATCGAGGCACCGGAAGAAACAGCAAGGTAAACAAATTAAAATCAGGTGCATATTGATCAATTTACTTTAACATCTAATCTTTTGATAGTCTTTTTTTTTTTTTTTTTTTTTT